ATAGATAGAGAGAAGAGACGAGACTAAGTCAGACAGTACTAAACCAAAACTTTACACGACAGAGAAAGAGACACAAACAGACAGACAGCCACAAAGCCACACCTAAATACACACACACAGACAGACAGACAAAAAAAATCCTTATCAATCTATGTCATACCAAGTTAGTTCTTCTCTCAGATATGGAATGTGACGAAAACATGAGACTCAAACTTGCCTCAAAGTCACATATATCTTCGTGATTTATTGCAAGAGTTTTGAAAATTGCGCGACACATAAATTTTCCCGTTTTCTATATTTACTTATGTACGCCGGCTCGCTCTTCTCCGTTTTCTTTCATTTATTTAAACAGAAAAGACGGGGTGACTTTTTTTTTTTTTTTTTTTTTTTTTTAACTCCCTCTGCTAATTAAAATTGAATGAAAATTTGGGATCTGATTCTGGCATTTGTCTAATTAGTCCTTTTTGTTTCCCGATTTCAGGTTAGATTATTCTAATTTTCTAATACTAATGCTCTTGATAATACTATTGATATTGATGATAACAATAAAAATAATTATGATAATAATGATAGTGATAATGATGATGGTGATGATGATGATAATAATAAAAATAATAATGATAATAATAATAATAATAATAATAATAATAATAATAATAATAATAATAATAATAATAATAATAGAGATAACAACAATAACAATAATAATGATAACAAGAATGAATAAAAAATGATAATGGCAATAATGAAACGATGATAATGACAATGATAATAATAGTAAAAAATAAGAGTAATGATAATGATAAAAATAAGAATAAAAACGATGATGATACATTACTATAACACATAAGAATAAAAATGATAATGAAGATATAATGATTAATAATAATAATATTAATAACGATAATAATAACAATAATTAATAATAATGGTGATGATAATAACAACAATGATAATAATATAATTTAAGATGAAGATGTAGAAATGATGATTGATGATGATGACGATCAAGGAGGAGAAAAAAGCAAATGATAAGAATAATGATAACATCAATAATAATTATTACAATAAATCATCATTATCATCATCATTCTCCGTATTAACATTACCATTAAAGATAATTCTCATTATTATAATAATAATAAAATATAATATTAATAAATAAATAATCACGATTTTCTTTTGTTAATGTTCATATACCAATGTCTTTATTAGTATATTGTATATCAATGTAACGAAAATTAAATAGTGTAATAAAATATTTGAAAAGGAAATTATAAAAGGAAATAATATCTAGTGTTGAATAGACAAATACCTTGTGGCACTAAAGAGTATAAATAATTAAAACGATTAATAATATACCAACAAAAGGAATAATACTGCTTATTGTGTTATAAATCAAAGCTTAAGTATTATGCTTTAACGGTATAAAAATCATATAAATATTAATTAAAGGTCACCCCCCCCCCTATTTACTTCATGCTTAAGAACCGAAGTAAATGCTAATTATTTTTTTTCTCTCTCTTTAACATTGATATCGTTATTTGATAATTTGTTAATAGATTTTGGTTTATGCTTATCAACCGATAACGAAATATATACTTTTTCTGTTATCCTTCGCTATATATACCTACAATGAATTCGTAAGGTTTTATATATTTTTTCCTTTAGTTTATTATTATTATTATTATTATTATTATTATTATTATTATTATTATTATTATTATTATTATTATTATTATTATTATTATTATTATTATTATCATTATTATTTATATTATATTATTATTATTTATATCATTTATTAATATTATTATTATTATTATTATTGTCATTATTATTATTATTATTATTATTATATTATTATTATTATCATTATTACTTATTTACGTATTTACCTCACGCTATACACATTTTTCCTCCTTCCTAAACCTATGACCCCCCCCCCCCCACCTCCACTGACCTCCATATAAGCAACCCCTTCGCCTCCCATAACCCTATCACACACTTCCACATATACAAAGTCCCACGTCAGCCCCCAGCGCCGGCTTATGATAGCCGTCGCGGTGCTGAACAAAAGCCCGACGACTCCCGAGTACAGTTACGTACCAAAGCCCGTGTCAGCCTCAGGTTTCTAACCGTGTTCCCCCGTTAATTGGACTCGGCTGTGCGTCTGTCTGTCTGTAGCGGCGAGGACCGGTGGGAAGTCCCCGTATTGTCGTTGTGAGACACGGGGTAGTTTGGCTTCTCTCTCTATGACAGTTTCCTTTCGGTTCGTTGTCGGGAGGTGGGGACTAGGCATAGGCAGGCATAGGGGGGGAGGCTAGGCATAGGGGGAGGCTAGGGCATAGGGGGGGAGGCATAGGGGGGGAGGCTAGGCATAGGGGGGGCTAGGCTAGGGGGGGAGGGCTAGGCATAGGGGGGGAGGCTAGGCATAGGGGGGGAGGCATAGGGGGAGGCTAGGCATAGGGGGGGAGGCTAGGCATAGGGGGGAGGCTAGGCTAGGGGAGGCTAGGCATAGGGGGGGAGGCTAGGCATAGGGGGAGGCTAGGCATAGGGGGGAGGCTAGATAGGGGGGAGGGCTAGGCATAGGGGAGGCTAGGCATAGGGGGGGGAGACTAGGCATAGGGGGGGAGCTAGGCATAGGGGGGGCTAGGCATAGGGGGGAGGCTAGGCATAGGGGGAGGCTTAGGCTAGGGGGGGGAGGCTAGGCATAGGGGGGAGGCTAAGGCAGTAGGGGGGAGGCTAGGCATAGGGGGGGAGGCTAGGCATAGGGGGGGAGGCTAGGATAGGGGAGGCTAGGCATAGGGGGGAGGCTAGGCATAGGGGGGGAGGCTAGGCATAGGGGGGGGAGGCTAGGCATAGGGGGGGGCTAGGCATAGGGGGGGGAGGGCTAGGCATAGGGGGGGGAGCTAGGCATAGGGGGGGAGGCTAGGCATAGGGGGGGAGGCTAGGCATAGGGGGGAGGCTAGGCATAGGGGGGAGACTAGGCATAGGGGGGGGAGGCAGTAGGAGGAGGCTAGGCATAGGGGGGAGGCTAGGCATGGGGGGAGGCTAGGCATAGGGGGGAGGCTAGGCATAGGGGGTAGGCTAGGCATAGGGGGGGAGGCTAGGGGGGGGGGCAGGCTAGGCATAGGGGGGAGGCTAGGCATAGGGGGGGAGGCTAGGCAATAGGGGGGAAGCTAGCATAGGCATAGGGGGCGGGGAGGCTAGGCATTAGGGGGGAGGCTAGGCATAAGGGGAGAGACTAGGGCATTAGGGGGGGAGGCTAGGCATAGGGGGGGAGGCTAGGCATAGGGGGGGAGATAGTCAGGCATAGGGGGGGAGGCTAGGGGGGGGGCTAGGGGGGAGGCTAGGCATAGGGGGGGAGGCTTAGGCATAGGGGGAGGCTAGGCTAGGCGGGGGGCTAGGGGGGGCTAGGCATAGGGGGGAGCTAGGCATAGGGGGAGGCTAGGCATAGGGGGGAGGCTAGGCATAGGGGGGAGGCCTAGGCATAGGGGAGGCTAGGCATAAGGGGGGGAGACTTAGCATAGGGGGGAAGGCTAGGCATAGGGGGGAGGCTAGGCATAGGGGGGGAGGCTAGGCATAGGGGGGGAGGCTAGGCATAGGGGGAGGCTAGGCCAAGGGGGGGAGGGCTAGGCATTAGGGAGGCTAGGCATAGGGGGGGGAGGCTAGGCATAGGGGGGAGGCTAGGCATAGGGGGTACTAGGCATAGGGCTGGCATAGGGGGGGCTTAGGCATAGGGGGGGAGGCTACGGCATAGGGGGGAGCTAGGCATAGGGGGGGAGGCTAGGCATAGGGGGGGAGGCTAGCATAGGGGGAGGCTAGGCATAGGGGGGAGGCTAGGCATAGGGGGGGAGGCTAGGCATTAGG